ACTTGAGAAAACTCCCAGGTTCCTGGCGTGAGTGACTGGGCGGGCGTGAGGTCACTTCCGGAGACTGGGCCCTGGGGTGGGGGAGGGGAGGATGGCTGAGCACTAGCCCCCGGATCCAGATGGGCTCAGGGCAGCCTGGCTGGCAGAGCTGCCACAGCACTCGGGGAGCCCGCCTTCCACAGGGAGCAAGAGCCCAGGTCCCGTCACTGACTTGTCAGCGCCCCCCTGGGCCATCTTTGTGCCGTCCTGGTAACTGGAAGCAGCGCTGGGCTGTCCTGTGCCATCAACCCCAGGCATCACTGTCCCTTTTCAGAACTTGGCACGTCAGGCGGGAAAGCGCCCGGCCTTTGGTGTCCACCTCTCAGCAGATAGCTTTATGTGTCACCTGTCTTACCCAAGAACTCACATGTTAACCTTTACTTTTGCAAAGACCTGTTTTACAACTGCAGGCGGCATTGAGAAGTTATTGCTTCCTCTACAAGAAAACCACCTAAAATTAAATAAAAATTTTAAAAAGGTGGCCGAGTCCGTCCGTCAGTACAGCGCAGTGGTTATGTGGGCTCTGGGTCCGTGGTTTTCTGCGTGACCTTGGGCCTGTGATTTGACCTCACAGAGCCTCAGTTTCCTCATCTGTACCAGAGGGATGTTGGTTGTGCTCACCTCCTGGAGTCGTTATGAGCGTGAAAGGAGCTGATGAACGAAAAGCCCCCAACGAGCTCCTGCCTGTCCATCCTGAGCCCCAAGTAAATATCTGAGTCAGTGGCCTGCAGGCGCCGCTTACAGATTCAGCAGCGGACCCGTGGCCCGCACTCGTGCTGTTCCGTCTGACCCCCCCCCTTTCCACCCAGGTTCACCTTCCGATCGGGGAAGCAGATGTAGATCTAAGGCCGCGGCGGTTCTCAGACTCCAGAAGACAGCACACCAGGAAGCCTGCGGGAGCCACTCTGTGCCACGCAGACACCCCCACCGCACTTGCTCACTGGCTTCCCCTCAAAGCTGACTGCGGAGCAAGGAGGTGAGGTTCTCTCTGCATCGCTGTCTCCCTGGCTGCAGAACCAGACGCCCCTGAAGGCTTGGCCAGGGCAAGGCAAGTGGCACCAAGAACTCAAGAAAGCAGAAGGAAAACTGCAAAATAATATTTAAAAAGAGGAGAGTGCAGCGGGGCACCACCTGCCCACGCCCGCCGCGGAGGGGCCTGGGCGCTCTGCTTCTCTGGTCCAAAACGGGACCTCGATCTCCGCTGGGTGGCATCCCTGCATCAGCCCACAGGGAGAGGGGAGAGCGCCCGGAAGTGTGATGTCGACATTCCAGTGACTTCACTGATGTTTAGTGACTACCTGACTTTGCTAACGCAACTTCCTTCCTTTATGAGATTTTTGTATTGAAGTAAAATGACTTCCCTGCTTTAAGTCGTCTCTTTCGGGGCCCCGTGACACCTTCGCCCCTCAGGGCCTCAGTTTCCAGACCTGTGAGCCGGGTGCGTATGTACGTGCTGGTGTGTGCGTGGTGCATCTGTTCCACTGAATCCAAGTGATGTGCCGTTTTTTCGTGTGTTGGCGTGAGAGAGAAAAATGCTACAAACTATAACATTAAGACATCATTTGAAGGCTCATTTTGATTTCAGAGGTGTTAAATGTGAAAAAATGTGCATTTAGGAATCGAAATACAGTATATAGATAGCGGGTGCCTGCCTGCCCTTCCCCAAGAAACTAACGAGCCTGGGTTCTCAGTCAACACTGCTGGTTTGCTGCGGCAGGGATCTTATTCTGTAACAACTCGGGGAGACGGGACTGGTATTAACCCCCGTTTACAGAGCTGGAAACCAAGACGACAAAAGGCTGAAGCAGCTGACACGAGGTCACGTGGCTAGGAGGTGGCTGCCCAAGGTGCAAACGCAGGCCGGACTCGAAGACGCTGCTGGGACCAGATGTTTTGCCTGTAAACCAAGGACTCAACCCCCAGTCCCAATCGGCCTCCAGTGCCTGGGGCTAAGGAAACAAGCTACCCACCAAGGGCGGACAAGTGGGGTGTGCGGTGGGGACAGGGACCTGGGCAGGCAGGAGGGGCGTCCAGCACGTGGCAGGCGCGGTTGGTGATTCTGGCATCAGGTCTAGTACGTGAGCAGTGACGGTTACGGAGCTCAAATTGATGCTCACCCTGGCTCTAACGGTTCAATGTGCCTGAATCTCCTCCCTCACCAGACCCCATGGCCCCTTATACAAATGAAGTCTGTCCCGCAGGGGGACACCCGCCAAGACTGAAGACTCAGACTGGGATGTGACCCTTTTGTAAAACCCAGGAAACCCACCCCTCCTTTCTCCTGCCTGCACCTTGTAAAAAAAAAAAACACACACACAGGTGGCCTCGCCTGGCAATAAATATTTTAATTCTTGTTTCATTTTTATGATGACAAGTAATTTTCAAGTTTATTTCCTTTTTTTTTTTTTAATTTAAATACAAAGCTAAACCACAAACAGGTACAACCGAGACATCGTATTTCACATTGACACGCTCCGTCGGATCCTCCTGCCACCGGCTGACCAGGCAAGTGTGGGGTGGCGGGAACTTTCCTAGGTAGCACCGTCGTGAGGGGGACGGGGGCGGGGGGAGCTGGGGCACCAAGGTTGAGGACAGGCGCTCACACCTGTCTCCGTTCACATTTACCTAGGACCAAGTAGGGGGCAGGAGGCCCCGGGCCGTGGCTCCAGAGCCAGGGCGGGGGGCCCCTGGACTGCAGGCGGCCAGTGAGCATGGGTCCCTCTTCCGGAGGGAGGAAGCTACCCGCTCACTGCTCCGGCCGCCAGGCCGTCGAGGCGAACTGTCCCCTCAGCCTTGAGCCCTGGGTGCGGCACCTGCCTGCTTCCCTGGGGTGGGGCCCACATGACAGGGCCCAGGGTGGTCGGACGACAGCCTGACAGCAGATCTGGACCTTTCAACCCAGCAAAGTGGGGTCGGGGTGGGGGTGGGGATTGGATAAGTAATTTCTGGTCCCACTACAAAACTTTATTTTTGATTAGAATAGAGTACCATCTCAAACCTCTTCTATAAAACCAAACAAACAGAAAAAGCCAAACCCAAAGTAAAAGAAAAAACAAACAAAAAAACCGCAGCCACTCCACTCACTTTAAGACCTATATACATGTAAGTTGTTTTCTGTGGTTTTTTTTCTTTTTTTTTTTGTCTTTTTTGTTTTTTTGATTTTTATTATTTTTTTAAAATAAATTCAGTGTTCACATTTCTATAAAGAATCACCCCGGTTTTGGGAAGCCCTGGCCTGGCGGGGCTCACTAAGCGATGCTTCTCCCTGCCCGCGTCTACTCTGATGACCCGCCCTGAGGCTTCGAGGTGCCCAGAAAAGCGGCAGCCCGTGGAAGAGTAAACCTAGGCCCGGGCCGCCAGGTCAGCAAGCTTTCGAGAAAGCAGAGGGGAAGACTGACTGACTGCGAAACCCTTTTAAAAAATATTCATACACTTCCGTGTGCGCCTGTTGAGACGTCAGGAAAACAAGAGCTTGGGAGCATCCCGTCCAGGCCGGCGGGAGGCGGCATCCAGGAGGCCGGCGGGAGGCGGTGTCCTCGCGGCCGCCTGAGCTCGGAGGGATGAAGGAGTGTGGGGAATAGTCCTGGCTCTGCAGCCAGAGGCCGGAGTGCCCCCCAGCTTCCCAGTTCGTGTCCGACTCTCTCCTCTGAAGCCTGCATGCGCGGCGGGAAGCACAAACGTTCGACTTGTATGCAAAAAAGGTACAAAAACAACTAGAATATAAAAGTTTTGGTAATATAAGGCCATCTGTTCAAGTCCACCTTGGAAACCTGTAACAGATATTTAAATACTACAGTGAAAAGGCATCTTAATATACTTTTTAAAAAACATCTGAAGTAATCTGCTAAGATTAAGTGTGTAAAAAAAAAAATCAATTCCCTTTGAGGGCACTTTTTGTCCATTGAAGAGGGGGCGGGGCGGCGGTTAATGCTTCAGCCAGGGGTAGGCTTCGATGGAAGCCCGGCTGCGGTCCCCATAGTCGTACAGGAGCTCCTCCCCGGCCTCGATGTCGCGGGAGGCGATGAGAATGAGGTGAGGCACGCCGTCGATGTCGTGCAGTTTGGTCTGGCAGTTCCCACATTTGCTGTGATTGATCAGTCTTCCCAAGCGATTCGTCTCTCTGGTGGCATCCACGCTGGTGGGGAGGGAGGGCGACAGGGGATTATTAAATTGATCAAGAGGCTTTTGAACCCAGCCAGAGTTGCACTTGCTCTCCACCCTGGTGGGACGTCAATTTATGGCCATGTTTTTTGGGAAAGCAATTCAACTCAAAAAATATTTGTCTTTAGGAGCTGAGAGAGGCACCGGGTGGAGTGTCTGAGGCAGGGGGCGGGAGCAGATGGGAATGCAAAGGGCTCTTTGTGGAGGCCCAGAAGGGAACAGCGGAGTCCTGCGCAATGAAGAAGTGAACCCAAGTCAG